GGTAAAAAATTACCCAATCTTGACACGAGGAGGTTGTGATAATAGATAACAATACCGGGCTCTATGAGTCTAGTAATTTAAATGAATACAATCTAAATCCGTTAATGAAGATCCATTTGAAGGTAATTTTGGTGCCAGCAACCACAGTAATTCTAGCTTTAATAGCATATATTTAAGTTTCTTAGTTAAAAAACTCATAATTGAAACTAGGGTTAGGTCATCTGGTCCACCTCATGGTGAGCACTTGTCTACTTGTCTACTTGTCCTTATAACCAACGATGCACTCCTGACCTTAACTAGCTAGGTAATTCTTCTGACGATGTTACTGTGAAGAATTAGAGTGCTCAAAGTAGGCCTATGTTTATATACATTAGCATAGGATAACATCATAGGATTTTGGTGCTATTGTGTTGGCCTTTGGGATCAAAGTAATGATTAATAGAGACAGTTAGGGGCATTTGTATTTTATAGTAAGAGGTGAAATTCTTGGATTTATAAAAAATGAACAACTACGAAAGCATTTGCCAAAGATGTTTTCATTAATCAAGAATGAAAGTTAGAGGCTCGAAGTTGATTAAATACCATCATAGTCTTAACTATAAATGATGCCAACTAGGGATCAATGAATGTTACTTTTAGGACTTTGTCGGCACCTTATGAAAAATCAAAGTCTTCGAATTCTATGGGGAGTATAGTTACAAGGCTGAAACTTAAAGAAATTGATGGAAAGGCACCACCAAGAGTGGAGCTTATAGTTTAATTTGATTCAACAGAAGGAAACTTATTAGGTCTAGACATAGAAAGGATTGACATACTAAAAGCTCTTTCTTGATTCTATAGGTGGTGGTGCATGGCCGTTCTTAGTTGGTAGAGCAATTTGTCTGCTTAATTCTATTAACGAATGAGACCTCAGCCTATTAACTAACTACAAAGAGATGATTTTTTATGGCTAGCTTCTTAAAGGGACTATGGCTGCTTAGACTAAGAAAGTTTAAGGTAATAACAGGTCTATGATGCCTTTAGATGTTTTAGGCTGCACATGTGCTACACTGATGTATTCAATGAGTTTATAGCCTTGGCCGATAGGCTCAGATAATTTTTGAAATTTCATCATGATAGGCATAGATCATTGCAACTGCTGATCTTCAATGAGGAATTCCTAGTAAGTGCGAGTCATCAGCTCACGTTGACTACATCCTTGTCTTTTGTATACATCGCCTGTCACTCTTACCAATTGAATGGTTCGATGAAGTGTTCAGATTGTAATGACATGGATAGTTCACTACCTGTGACGTTGAGGGAAGTCCACTAAACCTTATCATTTAGAGGAATGATAAGTCGTAACAAGGTTTCCATAGGTGAACTTGTGGAAGGATCATTGTCAAAATTGACTCAACAAATGACCCATGAATGTGTTAACAAAACACCAAGGGGGCGAGGGTGCCTCTGTGGCCTGAGCCCCTTCTAGCCTTAGGCATGTGTACGATCGTTTCGTTCTGCCTTCCAAGCAAATGAAATGATTAGCATCATTACCTGTGACCAAATAACAAACCTCAAGCATGAATCGTGCCAAGAAACCTAAATGAAAAAGAGCATGTGTGCTGTTGCCACCCCATTTACGGTGCATACATGGGTAGCACTATGGCTCCTTTTGTCAAGATAAACCAAAACAATTATCGGTAATGGATATCTTGGCTCTCGTATCAATGAAGAATGTAGTGAATGTGATACTTGGTGTTAATTGTAGAATCCCGTGAACTATTGAGTCTTTGAACACAAGTTGTGCCCCAAGCCCTTAGGTCAAGAGCACACCTGCTTGGGTGTTATACATCATCGCCCTCTAACCTCTTGCTTATCAGCTTCGATTGAGGGGGTGAAAGATGGCTTTCCATGATCTCATTGATTGTGGTTGGTCCAAAAACGAGTCTCTAACAATGATAATGTCATGACCGTCAGTGGTAAAGCTCACTGCATGCCTTGTTCCAGTGAGACGTGCACATTGTCCATCCAAAACTCATCAAACCCCCCACATCATTCAATCGATGCTCATATTGTGACCCATTGAGTTTAAGCATATCAATAAGTGGAGGAAAATAAACTTACCAGGATTCCCCTAGTAATGACAAGTGAACTGGAAAGAGCCTAGCTTGAGAATTGAGCATCTTCGTGTTTGAATTATAGTCTGTAGAAGCGTCCTTAATGGTGGACCGAGCCTAAGTCCCTTGGAAAAAGGCATCGTAAAGGATGAGAGCCCTATTATGCCTGGACCCTATAGCACCATGAGGCACTGTCTGTGAGTCGAGTTTTTTTTTTTTGGAATACAGCCCCAATCAGATAGTAAATTTTGTCCAAGGCTAAATATGAACGAGAGACTGATAGCAAACAAGTTCGTGAAGGAAAGATGAAAAAGACTTTGAAAATAGACTCAAAGAGTAATTAATAAATTACTTATTAATTTAATAAGTTGAAACAATTCAAATATTAGATAAAACAGAAAAAATTATTTTATCACAAAACAAAAGGTCATAATGATTTGAAATAAATAATTATTCAAATAACTATGACTATTTAAACTTGCTCGTTAAATAGATTTATTTTTTAAATTTTTTACTTATTAGTTAAAAATTAAGAAATTAGTGTTATTTTAATCTGAACAAGTTTGAATAAATAGAAACAATTGTTTTATAACGAAATAAAAAAGTCATAATGATATGAAATAAATAATAGTTCAAATAGTTATAACTGTTTGAATTTGTTTAATAGACAGATTTATTTTTAAATGTTATACTTATTAATTGTCTGAATATTAATTAATTTGTATTATTTTATTCGTAATAAGCTTTATGAACAGTGACATTTGTTTTATAACAAAACAAATGGTTATAACGATTTGAAATAGATAATTGTTTAAATAGTTATATAACTATTATAAACTTAAATTAATCACCTTAGGTTTCAATTCTAATTACTTGAATATTAATTATTAATAACAAAATATATCGATTAAATAAATAAAAACATTAAAATAATTTAATAAATATTGGTCATTGTAAACAAATTAATAATAATTACTTGAATATTAATTGAAAATAATAAATAAGAATAAGAAATAATTATTAATTTAAAAGATAATTGATTTAATAATTGACCAGTCTAATTCAAGACTCTTCTAGCAGCCCCTCCATTAATAGGGGAGGGGCTATCATATTAAGATTTCTGATTCCCTTCCACTACTCTAGTTTTTCCTTGAATCTTGGATGTACGGATTTACAACATTTTTCAAGACAAAAGCTCGCTAAGTTTATAATCAAGAAAGTATCAAGAGTCCTTTTCTTACATTTGTTTTTGCTAGAGAAAATTTTTCGAGTTATATGAGCAAAACAGAATATAGGGTTCCAAGTTTTTTGTTGATCAAGCAACAACCTGATTTGAACTGGGAATAAGGGATTTGCAATCCCTCGCCTTACTGGTTGGCCATGTCACCAAAGGTTAACAAAAAAAATAAGAGTATCCCCTTTTTAGTTATAGATTAGAACCATACCTTCAATTAGTTATAGTATCTCAAGTAAAAAATTAGTATTGTTCTTTTTTTCAATAAAAAAAAATTTCTTAATTTGATTTATATTATAATATAATAATATAACAACAATTATGATTCTATGTAAACCCCAGAACAAAAGTTATTACATAGCTATAGTTATCTAATAATGTATTTCATCTATCTAGATATGATGTCCATAGGGAATTAGCAAAAAATTATCATGTTTCAATTTTTCATTGAATAGATTAAAATTAAAGAAAAATAGAATTTTTCATAGAGCACGTTGTGTGTTTTCTCCACTAGAGTTCTATAATGGAATAAAAAAAAGGAAAGAATATAAATAGAAATGCTATATCTGCGCATTTTTAATAAATACAAGCCTCTTTTTGTGCACACTTCAATCATATTTTAAATATTATACTAAAAAATAAAAAACTAAAAAGTTGGTGAAATGTCTCTCTGCAAATCATTTTTTGAACAATGGAATCTATGGAAAAGTTAAAGTTCTAGAAAAATCAACTCTCTCCCTATATATATTTTATGATTATTTTCTCTTTATCTAAATGAATAGATAAAATTAGGAATTCATTTTATTTTTCTAGTATTCAATTGGATTGGAATATGTAATATCATAATAATGGTAGCAATGGAATTATTATTATTATTATTATTATTATTATTATTATTATTATTGATATTCTATACAAAACTCCATTCGGCTAAATGGCTATCATATTGACTATCCTAAGGCCTTTTTTTGTAACTGATAGATTCATAAGTTTTTCCTTAATTCACTCTTACATGGATTATTGAAAATTAAAAGTATATCAAAATGAAATATCTAATAAATTGACTAATTCAAAATTTTCAAATTAGCGATTTTTTTATTCCTGAATATCCAACTCACTAATTAATTCTTTATAATGTATTTTATTTTTCTTTGATAAATAAGATAGTAGCCATTGATGTTTTCCTATAATTTTACATAGACCTTTTTGAGGTAAATAATCTTTTTTGTGCAATTCCTAATTTGAAGTAAATCTTTGTATCTTATTTGTGAAACTAATTAGTTGAAATTCAATGGACTCCTTGTTTTCCTTTTTCTCCCTTTGAAAATTAACTGAGATCCATGAATGACTTTTTTTATCATAAAACAAAATTTTCTCTCTTCTTTTTGAATGTGAATTTTAATAATGAGTAATAATAATACTAGTCATTTTGATATGCACAATGATTTTAAGTTCGTTATGAACTTTATGATTTTTTCAAATAATGTTAATCAATCTGTTTTTCAATTTCATTTGTATAGGAATACAAAAGAGAATTTTAGAGTTCAAATAAGAGGCTGTTATTGATTCATTTGTTGATCTAATTGATATGTATGTGATTAAATTAGTATTATGTATCAAAATGCTATGTAAGACAATCCTTGTGCCTCGTCTCTTTGTTTTATATACCTGATGGACCAAATGCATAATATATAGGAAAATGTACCATTAACGAATTTTCAACTGTGGATACATGTCTATCCTTACCATACAGAAACAAATGCTATTAATAAGCCAATTATGTTATATTATAAAGCAGTTTTTTTTTTTTTTTTTGTGGCTTTACACATACCTTAATTGCAATAACTCCTCTTGCCCTGGTAGGAGGTCTGAAGTTCAAATGCTCTCCCACAAATTATTAACTATTACTGATTCTTTGGAGACGCACTTACTTTCTTTTGAAGTAAATATGAGAAAGCAGAAGACTTTGCTTGCCTTTCAGGTATTACATTTTCCAAGAATTGAACATGAGATGTGTTTCTTGTTCTTTTTGTGTTTGGTCAACTAGAACTGATATTTAACTGTCAGCTAGTGGTTTGTGAGGAAGCCCCTTCTCTTGTTTTCTCCTCTCTTTTTTCACTTGCTGCCTGTGGATATGTTCTTGAAATAAAGAAACTGTACCTTTTAACCAAACATCCTTTTCTTATTACTCTACTCACTCAATGAATTTATGTGTGAATTAGATAGTTTGCACGACATTTCTTTGAGTTGTAGAACAATGGTTTTTTGCAGTAGTACTTTTACTATTTCATGAGCTCATATTAGTACGTTTGTCTTGGTTTTATTTTGTTTTCCTGAAGGCTGTAAAGCAACTGCTAAGGCTGGATGCTGAGAATCCAGATTCACATCGCTGCTTGGTATGTAACATCTGCCCTACCATATTTGTGCACTGCCATGCACAACTGCATTCTTTTCTGTTCTTAGATACAAAGATCATGTAATCTTTACAATGCTTATTTGAATTTAATCTAATGCAGATTAAATTTTTCCATAAATTGGGCTCAATGCCTGCTCCATTAACTGATGCTGAAAAACTTGTTTGGAGTGTCTTAGAAGCTGAGCGTCCATCCATCAGGTTCTCTTTGAAATGGCTTTATGATAGCTATTCCCCCTACTAGAATTTTGTTGTATTACTGTTACTATTATTATTTTGATCCCTGATGCATTAAATCCCTTTATTTTCTCTTTTCGCAGTCAATTGCAGGAGAAAACTCTTAGTGAGGCGAACAAAGTTTTCCTTGGTAAACATGAAGGTATTATGACCTTTACATAACATGATGCATTTTAGGTTCCTTGAGGTAGGTTGTATAATCATGCAATTTTCACTTTTTGGTTCTCCAGAATCTTTGATGCATATAGTGGTAGTTGCAGAAATGTTATATACCTTGGAGCACACCAAGAAACTTGAGGCTGTTAAGTTAATTGAAGATTCATGCAATAAAGTCATGCCAATGTAATGCTCTTAGTGTACATTAAAATTTTTGCTGTTTGATGTCGATTCCATGCCTTGCAACTTACTCTTGAGATTAATTGTTTCTTTCTCTTTTGCTTTTTCTCTTTTGCTTGTCCAGGAATGGGGCACTCGGACCAGTACTGGCGTGAAAACTCAAGGACTGTATTGCAGTCCATAAACTCTTAGAAAAGGTTCTTATAAATTTGAGGTGCTATAGAAAATTTTTGGGTACTGCTGATGAAATCTTCTGGTCAGCATGGGAAGAACACTGTTTTAGGGCTAATCTTTGCCTTTGGAGCATGTTGTACTTCGCCCCTTTTGTTAGTTGCCATTTATAAACACTACATAATGTGGAAAATTTTGCTACGGAGCTGACAAGAGTGGCTATAAAAAATTCCCAGTTTTGTTGTTCTAAGTCTCGTCTCTTATGGTTTGCTGTTTGAATTTTATTATGGAGGAAAGGTTGATAATTAGCAACAAAAAGTGGATTTTGATTGGATTATAAAATTTTATTATTAGTTGAAAAAGGTTAACCAAATCTTGTTGAGATGCTAAACAAAATTATTTTCCTTTAAAATTTATATAATTTAAATTATTAATATAATTTTTAATGTTATAATAAAATATATAAGTTTAATATCGTCAATAAAAAATAGTTATTTTTATTTTCGAAAAATTAAATCATTTTATACCAAGACGATTAATTAGATATAAATCAAATATAATATAAAATTATTATGTTTTATCTATTATTTTATGCACTAAACATAACTAAAAATATTAAATAATAAGTATTATGTGTAATTGGATGATTAAATTGTTAAACACTTAATGTTTTTTGTTTGAGTAATTGTTAATTATTAGATTTTTTAAAAAAATTTTAACTAATCAAATTTGAATTTCGTCATATTATACTTTGATTTGTTAATTTTTTTAATACATTAAAAGTTATTTGATTATAATTATAATTTTTAATGGTATATAATTTTATAAAAATCAAAAGAAGTGTTTCAGTATATTTATAATTTTATCTCCTCAAACCAACGTTACGGAAGAGCATGAAATCTCAATTTTTAAGCTTTGGAATATTCTTTAAAAAAACCTCGAAGAAAAAGTAGAATCTAAATGATTAATTTTTTAAAATTTTAATTTATTAATTTAATTGGTATGAAAAAAATTTAAACATTTAAAATATTTCAAATTTATAATTTAAAAAATCTGACTAAATTAAAATTTAATTAAATTACATATTATTTGAACCAATAATTACCCCAAAAGATCTCGCGCCACAAGTTTAAAAAAAAAAAATTTTATATTTCTCCTTGCTAGTTTGCATGAACAACTTTATCAGCATGTCACTAAACCTTTTTTTCTTTCTTTTAACATTTTATTGAGTTTTTCCTTTACTAATTATAATCAAGTAAGTCAATAAAGATCGGTGCAAATGATTAAAGTTTAAGATTTAGATGTGAAGTATCTAGATTTATGATAATTAGATTCAAATCTTTAATGATTTTTTATTAATAAATAATTTATTAATTTTTAAAAATAAGATAACTTCTCTTGTTTTTAAATTTTTTTTTGCAAAAAAAATAATAAAATAAAAACGTCATAATATAAAAAGAATCTAAGAACACACAATATCTTCAAAAAAGATTTTATATATTTAACTTGGTTTTCTTCTCAATTGATTCATTATTTCAATTTTTGGTTCATGAATTTGCTAATTTTCACCTTGATAATATAGTTATTAACAATGTTTTAGAAGCTGATCTGGGGTGCAGTGATGGTTGATCCCATCGAATCATAAACACCACCACATGTCTTTGGGAATGGGACTAATGAGAAGGGGAAGGTCCTCCCCTTATTTTGTGAAAAGTCCAAATTTCTAAACCACCAAATAAAATGATCAGCTCTTTTTTTTTTTTTGGGTGAATTGGTGAGGGGTCTTTTTGTAATTGCAGATATTTATCAGTCTTTCACCATTCTTCTGGCCAATTTTGAGAAATGATGCTATTCCTTCTCACTAGTCATCCTTGCAACTTTTAAGCTTTGGCTTGGCTGGGCTTTTGGTTAAAGTTTGGTGTGGGGGTAATTTAGATTTTAATTTAGAATTGCTTTTGCTAACATTCGCATCCTCCATTCTTCCTCAACTTTGTTTTCGTTAGAAAAATGAAATTTCTTTTAAAATTGATGGGGCTCCTCTGCTCTTTCTATTTGTATTTTTTTTTCTTCTGAAGTGCATTTTTTTTTTCATTTATATAAAAGAAGCAAAGTTGATTTTCATCAAATATGTTTTTCATTTAGTCACTACATTTATTTTAAATACAAAAAAGTCAATTTTAATTTAAAATTTAATTGGTTAAGTTTCAACGGTTAGATTTTTTTGCATTTTAAATTTAAAACCCATTGTCTTCAGCCATCCTTCTCATCATTTCAATTTTCTTTCTCTCAAATTTAGGTTTTTCATTTTTGGATTCCCTTTCGGCTTGGAATATAGATTATTGTCGATAATATCGACATCAAGCAAGTAATGAGTCGATTCAACTTTCCTTGAGATTGGGCATCAAGATTAGGTTGGGAAATTAGGGTTCTTGATCTGATAAGAGGGAAATTAATTCCTTTGAGGGGAAGGAATTTTTCTCGACCATTGGTCAATCCAAACAAAGTAAAGAATTAGTTGGTAGAGGACAAATTGGAATGTGTGAGGAATTTGGAGACCTTTTGAAGGTTTGATTTCTACCATCTTAATTTTATTTAAATTTTTTTACTTCAAATAATGCTCGATTTGATTTTTTTTTATTTTTTTCTGATGATAAAATGTATTCTCGTTATAGACTGTAGATAATGATATTGCTAGTGTAAGCTGTTTTATTATGTCTTAGTTGTTAGTCATATTAATTTGATTTTTTGTTTGGTATTTTTTTTTAATGAGCTTCAAATGGTACCTTGGGATGTTCTGTTCATTATATTTACTCTGGATTTCTTCTCTCTCTTATTTATATAGAATCACATGATGCAAATCCAACGAAAACCTTACTTTTTTGTAGAGCTATCAAGCTTTCTCCTCTTTTCTAGAGAGAGGAGGGGCGGCTATTTTCACAAATACTTTTGTAGGGATCTTGTTTTTCTTGATGGCTTGATAAGAAATTATGTGACAAAAATCTAGTGATGTGCTTCTACAATAGACACAGTCCATTCGATGGCTTGTGATATTCTTAAATAATCTAGAAATAGATAGTTGTGGTATTATGCTGAAATACTTCATTGATGTCTTAATGTGAGAATAGTAAGAGCTCTAGGTGGTTAAAATTATGCTTTCATATGCTTCACCCCTAGAGAGTTGACATGGTGGCTAATTCTTTTATTAGTGGCTATCTTTATCTCATTCTTTTAGTTAAACTGATTTTCCTATATAAAAACCTTTTGACAATGGGCCAGGTTATGGCATGATTGAAATAAAGTGTCAAACTCTAGAGCTTTTGGAATTTGACTCATGCAGTGAGGATGTATTTAAATTGTTTTCTTCCTGTAACCCACATTTGTTATGTATTCATTCATGAGAATTGTAATTATTGTTGTTACAATGTGCATCATTATTGCCAATAAATGCTACTTCCTTTATGATGTGTGATGAATGTTCTAGGACTTATATTAGAACTTTGTTTTCTCAATTTTTAGAGAATGCCACTTGATTTATTGCAAGGAAACAAATTTCGTAAAGCGGCAATTGATTACATTAAGCCTCTTCTAACCTTTATATCCAAATGAGATTTTTTTTCCTTGTATTAGTTTGACTGGTGTTTTTTAGTTTGTTGGGTGAAATAATGATATATTTTTTTTGTGGCCTCGGGGGTTTTCATCTTTATTTTCAGACCTTTCTCCCTTGTACGGTCACCCTAGAAAGGTAAGTTTTCTTACTTACATATTCTAAAAATAGAATTAAGTTTCTAAATATTGATTTTCCTAAACTACTTAGCAACTGATTGGAGCTTGATTTCATTAGGATTGATTACCTGCTTTGTTGACACTTATACAGGCAGACATATTGGAGTAACTTATTTTTGAGTTGGAGCATTCAATTAGGACCGCCGACAGATACCCTGATAGGTAGTATATGCTTTAAATCCTTGCGTAATATTTTAGTAAGTCTTAAAAGCAAATAAATGTTTAGATTTACTACTCTTTGAGGTACTATAAACTTTCAGAACAATGTCCAAATGTTTAGATATTGGGTGTGGTCTGATTGCATGTTTATCTTTTACTGCTTATTGTTTGGTGAAGTCCTCTGTCATTTATGTGTTGTTATCTATTAAACAAGTACATAATGGTTGTCCCATATGGTTGCATGTGAAGTTTCTATATGTTTTTGTTTGTATGCTAATACACAAGCACATATTTGGTATTATGCTAAGTCATTTCTTGCTTTTGTTTCATATTGAGCGCAGGACAGTGAAAGAGCCCCCTTCAACACTTTTATGGATTTTATTCTTTTTGGCTTAGGTGGGTAACCATCAGGTTTCCTCACCCCATGGGCCATGGCCTTTTATTTTTTTTTTTGCTATAAATATTTGGTATTTTCTTTGCATTTGAGTAACTTTGAATTTATTGATGCAGCATTATGACAGAAGAGGACAATATGATGTTGCTCTTTCAAAAATTAATGAGGCCATAGAGCACACACCAACTGTAATTAATTGATATTTTATCAAGGTTTGTTCTCGCCTTCAATCTGTAAATTTTTGCAATGGCTTCATCTGCTGGGTTTTATATTTTTGTCAGTTGGATTCTTTTATTTTTTTCTTATATTTTGAATTCTTTTTGCCTGGTTTGTCTCGCATCTCACAAGGCATAGCATTACCTGAAAATCTTTCTAGATATTTCCTTGGAGTTATCATTCACTTGTAAGAGACTTATCACTTTTTATGATACTGACCTTGATTGAATATATTATTTTGCACTAAATTGTGCAAAGTTGATATGCATTGATTTAAAATGCATAATAGTTTTTCTTTGTGGATCTTAAGTCTTGATGGGCATTGGGCAGGCATATGACCTCCTTTCTTAAGTTTTGGGGTTTTTGGTACATGGCTATTATTTCTTGATCTTTTGTAGAAGTTCTTGGAATTTTCTTAAAGCTGGGTCTATGTGTATATTATTTACTTCTCTTTGGTGACAAAGTCGGATACTGAAACATGTTGGTGATTTGGTACCTGTGGCTTCATTGATAGATGAAGCTAGGTGTATGGATCTTGCAGATCGCTATATAAATAGTGAATCTGTGAAGCGAATGTTGCAGTCTGATCAGGTTCTAAGGCTTCCCCACTCCATCTTTTGTCATAGTTAATATTTGTCACTAAATTTCTTTTGGTATTATTGTATTGTTCATAAACTTTTTCTACTTTTGAAGGTGGCTTTGGCAGGAAAAACTGCTATTTTGTTCACGAAAGATGGGGGCCAGCACAATAACCTTCATGACATGCAGTGTAGGTGGTCTGTTTTTGTTTATTACCTTCCACATGTTATTGTCTCTAATTATAATTTGGGTACACCTACTGAGTGTTTTCCATCTTTTGAAGGTATGAACTTTCTTCTGATGAAAGTTACTTTCGACATGGTGATTTTGGACGGGCCCTGGAGAAATTTATAGCTGTGGAGAAGCACTATGCTGATATTATTGAATATCAATTTGATTTCCATTCTTATTGTTTGCGGAAAATGACACCACGTGCATATGTTGGAAAGCTAAAATTTAAAGATTGGTTCCATTCACATGCTTATTTCACAAAATAGCAGCTGGAGCCATTAGGTGAACATTTTTGTTAGGATTTGCAAGCTTTTCAATGATTTGCAATAGACTTATTCTATTTGGTTGTGGCCTGTACGTGTAAAATGCTATACAAGCTCTGTTGTCTACTTGTCTGGGTGCTTTTAGCATCTGTCACCTATTATTGATCAACACATGCATGTGATGCTTCATTTTGGGTTAGATTCCTCTTTGCCTCCCTCTTTTTCCCTTTGTCTTTTGGGGAATGGGGGATTATTGCATACATATATGTTGCATTAATCATATGTTGCAATGATGTGTTGTCTGAACCTTGCTTTCAAAGCATGAAAAACTTCCTAAAGGTAACTGTTGTTCATTACTTACCTTTCTACAACTATTCATTTGTTAATAATTAGACACTCCCATTATGATATCCAATCTAATTGAAGACTCTTCTAGCAGCCCCTCCATTAATAGGAGAGGGGATATCATATCAAGATTTCTGATTCCCCTTCACTACTCTAATTTTTCCTTGAATCCTAGACGTAAGGATTTACAATATTTTTAAAGACAAAACCTTGCTAAGTTTATAATCAAGAAAGTATCAAGAGTCCTTTTCTTGCACTTGTTTTTGCTAGAGAAAATTTTTTGAGTCATATGAGCAAAACAGAATATAGGGTTCCAAGTTTTTTGTTGATCAAGCAACAACCTGATTTGAACCGGGGAATAAGGGATTTGCAATCTCTCGTCTTACTGGTTAGCCATGTCACCAAAGGTTAGAAACCAAAAAGAATGAGTGTATCCCCTTTATAACTTTAGTTATAGATTGGATCCATACTTTCAATTAGTTATAGTATCTCAAGTAAAAAAATTAGTATTGTTCTTTTTTTCTTTCAATAAAAAAAATTCTTAATTTGATTTATATTATAATATAATAATATAACAACAATTATGAGTCTAGGTAAACTCCATAACGAAAGTTATTGCACGGCAACAAAAAGTTCAACCCAACAATGAAAAGCAGCTTGAGGTTTTTGTTCTTTCCATCCCTATGCCATTATGAAAAATTTTATCTTTACGAGTACCCATTTGCATGTTCATTGATTTATGATTTGGGTTAGTGTTTTTTGATTTCATTTTGTGTCTTTTGTCATCTATTGTCTTGCTTATAAGTACTCCAGTTTAAGGGTACCCATTTGCCTGTACTGCTAGTTCATACATTTGAAGATTTTATCTTGGTTAATAAGGAGGTCAAATAATTTGATAGAATTTTAAGCTATTGCTATTGGAAATTACCTTCTGCAGATGTTTAGCTCATAAATCAGATTGATTTAGTTAGATATATGAGGGTTGATTAGGAGACACTATCTGGTGTAATATAAAAGATTTTGGCTGAGGGGCTCAAATGAGCAAGTTCAAGTACTAAAAGTAGCCTCATTGTGTAAAAAATGCTGAATCCTAAAGGGTAGGAACATTTTTCAAATGACTCTTCTTGGTTTCTCATCCTTCATTGGTAGGATTGAGGCTGAGTAATGATCCTCTTTATGAGGGAAGATTACTCAAAAGGCTGTTTAGAAAGCATTCTCCAAATTGCTTTAAAAACCAACCATCATAGCAAAACAGCAGTGTCTGTGTTTTTTCATTTTTGGGTTCTGCCACACACTGAAATAACCTTTGCATGTCAACAGGGGTTGACCTCAACCTCTGGACCTTCTGATCCTTTATGTTAAGTTGATGAAGCTAGCTCGTTAGATTTTGAAGTTACTTACCAGCCAAAGACTAATTTGTTGAAAACTATTGGTGTTTTCACAGCAGCTTTAATAAGGACTGTGGCAATTAACCTATCATGGGTTACCAACATCCAGGTTTATCTTTAATTTCTTGTGCAATCCTTTCTTTGTAGGTTTTAATCATTTTTTCATCTTTGGCCAATATTTTGCATATTCTTGTATTATGCACAGAAGCCTTTCTTAATTTGATCTAATTTCATAATGCATATTTCTATGGCATTGCTTTTTGTAATAGGATATGTAGGCATTATCTTTGAAGAATTTCTAGCCTTTAATAAAAGTGGAATAGATTGTTGATGGTTGTGAGTTTATGGGTGGTAAGGAGCATAGGGTAAGAATGATTCTCAGATGTTTAGGATTGGACTGTGTTTTTCTGCTGTCCCTCTTCTTGTAGTTTGCATCATATTTATCATTCTCATAAATTGGGATGAAAACACAAAATTCTGTTGCGTGTTGGATGCTTTATTTAGTACTATGTCAGGTTTCAACTTGTTTCTCTCATGTTCATTGGTGGTGGCCTCATGACTTGGTATTTATTCAAGAGTTAATGAAATACAGGATGCTTGGGCTCTAAACTTATTTCCTGATCTACTAGTTTTATTGGTCTATGTTTTTGGTGAACAATGGCTTGTCCTTTTATGAAGTGATCATTACAATTTAATATCCTTTATTTTTAATTTATGTTGGAGCCCACTTCCCATTTAAGGAAGGAGCATCTCCAATTTAAACCAATTCCAAGGAACTACCCTAGCAATGAATTAAGATAGCAAAACTAGGTACCTACCCCCATGGTCAATTGGGAGAGCCAAAGTTTATGTTTGTGTGGCTTGTTACCATCACTAGGAATTCTGCAAATGGTTACTATGACTATCTCCCTTTATTAATGGAATTCTATGGTCTACTTATGCTGATGCATCTGACTTCTGTATGGAAAACTTTTTTTTTATCATTTTTTTATTTATTTTTGCCTTTATCTATTAATACTTGTGTAATAATGCTTAGGCCATTCACATTTGTAGGCTCCAACTGATTTAGCTATTTCAGAGCTGAAACATGCATCTGTTGAATCATTTTTTCTTGCTTGGTGCAATGACTATTGTAGAGATAGTTGATGCCCCTTAAGGATTTGAGCTGGTTACTGACAATATAACCACTCTAAAGCCACGAACTCTGTTTTGGGTGGTGAGTTGATTTCTTTCGACTATAGTCATGTTGACAATTTTATCATTAATGGTTCGTATATGAATCTAATTGAGAGTTCAATTGCATGGTGAAGCATACCCTGTGGCCTAATTTACCCACCGACCGTGAAATTTGTCTAGTGGGTATAAACCAATGATGTAGATGATTACAACTGATAAGATGGATTCAGAAGAATCTTAAATGTGCATACTTATGTGTCATGGCCAAAGTTATTAACCTACCGAAGAAAATTGAAGAAAGGATAAAAAAAAATGCAAAAGTTATGTTAAAGTATTCATTAGTTGCTTTTCATGATTCAAGTCCAATCTCACCTCCTGGAAATTAAAAAATTAAGCTCTTAAAATTTTTAAATCTTGGCCCATTCATGTCCCAAACCAATGCACTAGAAGAGCCTTTGTAGTTAATTTTCAATTATAAGATAAAGATTTGATGTTGCAACTTAATCAAAAAGACCTTAATTATGTCTTACCTTGAAGAATAAAGCAGACGATGGCCTTTAGTATTTGCCCTAAGCCTTAATTGTAAATATTCTTGTTTGATTAAAATCTCTTTTAGCATTTGCCAATCAATAGATGTTAGTATTTTGGATTTTTTTGATGATATAGGATTTTTGTAATTATCATTGAAAAACTATTTTTTTAGGAAGATCAATTATCATTTAATGTTTTGCTCATAGAAATCTATTAATTTTTGCATTAATGATACTAAAATGGAGAGAGGTTATCTAGGTGAGTACAAATACCAATATTTTCATCATGTTTATTTATGGCATTGGTTGTAAAGTAGTGGGATATTCATAGAACAAATGTAATTTTTTTGAATGGATTTTTCTTTTTGGTTCCAAAGGAACTTATTGAGGCTACTGCTTTGCGATACCATATGTTGAATGATATGCCACTTCAAAAGAAAGCTTACCTCTTTTCATATTGTATTCTCTAAAACTCTAAATACATGTCTTTTTTCGTCTTTCATTAGCTGTGTGTTCTCATTGAGTTTTTCTTATGTTATGTTATGATTATTCATTGAGAAAGTAAGTTAATGTTGTCTTAAGGTTATGGTTAGTCTTTAACAATAGAAGGCCTTCTATTTAGAAAGTAATGGACAATTATCTTAGGGTTGTATTGGGGTTTAATTTATTTAGGATATATTGGAGGTTTTGAGTTTAGGTTAAGGTTATAATACTTTATTGTGTGCTTGGGGTTGTTCAATCAGTAAAATGGTTGGTAATGAATATGGCTAGCTGTTGCTTTATTCATTTCTTATTGCCTTACTTTTACTTTATTTTCTAGCTGTCCTTGTCTTTATTTTGTTTATTTGCTGCATTGGTTTTGATCAGTTTTTGCTTGCCTTTTTTGTAGTTGTTGCATGGCCCCCAAGTTCTTCTATTTTTATTTCTCAAATAGCATTGTTATAGTTATACATGGGGGAAACACTAAAATTATCCTATGGCATGACAATAGTGTTTAACTCAACTAGTATGTAATTGTTATATGACACGTTGAATGGAAACAATAATATCCCTAAGCATCTCTATAGATGTCTTTTCTTGTTGAGATTTTGTTTTCATGTTCGGTTTTGGTCCACTAAGATTATTTGGTTCCATGACAATTGCATTTAACTTAAGTGGTATGGACTTATTATATCACATTTGGTTGATTTTAGAATGGTACGTGACTTTGAATGAAGCTTCCTCTTGTTATTTGGCTCTTTGAAATGGAAATATAATATTCCTAAGCATTTCTATCGATATCTTTTCTCATTAAGATTTTGTTATATCACATGCTTCTTGTTTCATTTTTTCATTTTTTGTGTACATGAGTTGAGTTTTGTAATTTTGCTTTTGAAAAAATCTTTGGATTGTGGTTTCGTAAGTGTGATTGTTATTTGGTAGTCTCTATGGAGCTCAATGGATTATGTGCTTGCAAGCTAGCAAAGATGGAAAGAATTAGATATTCAAATTTGTATAGCTGTGTGCTGTGCATGTTAGGAGTAAGTTATTTTTTGTTGGTTCAACTTTATTGCTTGATGGATTA